GTTTTTTTTTTTTTTTTTTTTTTTTTTTTTTTGAATTGTTATTGGGACTAATACAATAGCTGATTAATTGGGTCGAAAACTTGAAGTAAATAGAAGCTTGATTTTTAGGGGATTGGGACGTCTGGAGCTGAAGATGACACCATAAATGAACAAGTGAGTACTTTATTGAAGAAGGAACACGGTGATGTGGCTTCAGAATATTTTATTGGCTCTGACTCTGTCGTTACTATAGCCGCAACTTTTGAAAAAGGTCTCAACTGCTGGCATTTGTTCGTTACTGTCTAACAACAAAGTTTTCTTTTTGCTTGTTAACTTTGTTGTTACTGTTCTATCTAGTTCTTTCACGTACTTTTCATTTATTATTTAGGGGGAGTCATACTAATTGCCGGAACAGGTTCGAGCTGTCGTTATTTAAAAGATGACGGAACAGTTTATAGTGTAGGTGGTTGGGGTCACATGTTTAGCGATGGTGGAAGTGGTTTTTGGATTGCAAATAGGTATGCATAGGTTTTATGACTACTTCCGTATGTTTTTTTAAAGCTCCTATAGTGGTTTCGGAAGCAGCGTTCGTCGTGATTTTTAACTCAAGCTTTTTAGAATGATTCGGTATATTTTTGACGATACAGATGGTTTGAACAAAGCTCCTGCGTCTGTTGAATTTGCTAAACAACTTCTTTTGAAACACTTCAAGCTTTCAAACATCATTGGTATGCTGGACCTTTTGTACGCAAAGTTCGAGAAAGCACATGTTGCATCTTTCGCGGGAGTACTGGCATCAGGTAAAAACTTAAAAAGCCTATGTAATATAACTACTTGCACAACATGTTTTTTAGATGTTGACTATTATTCAGTTTATCAGTAAGACAAAATACTTTGTCAGGAAGTGACTTAGAAATATTTAGAAGGTAAAGATGACCCGCTTGTTCGTATTGTTTTTCAAGAAGCTGGAGAGGAGCTTGGCCGTCATTTAGTCGCTGTATCAAATCACTTTGATGAAGTAATTGTTTGTTGTTTTGCTCACTTGTGACATGAGGCACTAACTGTGTGTATTGTTTAAACCGGTCACAGTATAAGTGTTTTACAGAAAACGCTTGCATCTGTTCCAGTAGTTGGTGTTGGTTCGGTGTTCAAAAGTTGGGATCTTTTGAAAGACGGTAATGTGGTTACTTTTTTTGACAACAAATTTTAGTTTCCTTGTAATGTTGAGTTGCACTTGTAATTCATCGATTATGTACAGGATTCCTTCATGCTCTACGAACGCGGCCAAATAAGATTCAAAAAGTTGTCATGCACAAATTAGAAAGGACGCCTGCCTTCGGAGCAGCCGTAATGGCAGCGAAAAAGATAAACAGAGTCATATCGCAACAGCAGAATCCAACCGTTTTTGATGTGCTCGTAGTGTAAAATACAATTGTTATGGAAATTGCTGCCTGTCAAAAGTTATATGAAACTTTGAAAAACGTTGTTTATGAAATTCATTGTGCCGAGTGTAAGTAACTACCTTCTTATGCAAATTGTGAAGTGAAGTCTGCCTTTAGTTTTTGTTCTGTTCATTTTTCATGTTTTATAATGTAAGAATTTAATGTAAGTACCTTAATTGTTGTGGTCCATCTTGTGCCAGTTAAGTTCACTGTTGTTTGTCGTGGTTGTGTCGTTATTTGTTCCATATCGTTCTATTCACTTCTGAGACTTCTTCTTTTATTTTAGGTTACTTTATCTTGAAATATCTTTCAAGTAGGTAGTGAATTCTATTTTAAGCGACTGGTCTTTCAATAAAAAGTATTTTTGCCTTTGTTAATAATAAAATCAATTTTTTGGATCTATTTTTTTATAGTTGCGAAACTAATTTTTTTTTTTATTTTCCATTATCGTTGTTATTATAATTATAAGTACAATTTTTTTGTTTGGAGTTATCTAGTGCCATACGGTTATAAAATCTGTTTTGCTCGCTGTTGTCGACTACTCAGAAGTATGTTATGAGGGGAATTTTTTTTGCTACGAAAGGATAGGTCACTGCTTTTTAATTTTGTGAAGATCGGCTTACTAGGTAGCTTGACTTGCAGATTTTCAGAAAGATAGGGGACTAGAGGCAGGACGGGGTTTGATTTAAAGTCCCACCTTCTGGTCATCCAGGAATCAGCCGTTTGTCGAAGTTCCAAAGTGGTCCAAGTTTAATACTTTAAAAACTTCTAAAAAGCCAGACTTTTTGATTTTGTCATGCTTTTAGGTTTCCTTTTTTTCGTTGCCAGTTTGTACGTTCCGTGTTTACTTCGACATCTGAATTGCGTTGAGACAAACAAAGTCATCTTTTGCTCACATTCATTATATTGAAAGTGAGGAACACCTATTTTACAATTGCTTAACAACTGTAATCTTTGTTAAGTCAGTATAAAACAATTTTTAAGGGTTAATATGGCGCAAATGAACAGCAGCAAATTGACAATTTCAGGTCAGGAAAAATACCTGTTTTCTAGGAAAAAAGTGGATGACGAATCGTAATCTTACGATTGGAGTGAGTGAACGAAATACCTTTAATTTTTTTTTGGCAAATAGCTAGACTACGGATGACAGTTTAATAAATACGATAAAATGGAGTAAGGAGCTATGACTAATCGCAGCAGTTTATTTGTTATTTGTTGCTGCTTGTCTCAATGGTGTAGCCCGGTTGTTTAGAAGCAGGAAGCCATAGAACCAGTAGCTGTCTGGTAGCTGATGCATTTCAAACCTTTTTGCTCCTGGTCTTGCCCTGTTTTTGGACAGATCCTATGCAATTCTGAAGAGTTCCTTTCTCCCCGTTTTTGAAGGCCGGCTTTAGCTTTTTGTAGTGAAAAGCATGACGTACCGATAAATAACCAATTCTGGGTGTACTGTCTTTGCCAACGCGTCTTCTGATTCCTTGATGCAGAACAGAAAACTTGCTAAGCAGTAAAAAACTATAATCCATAAAACACAGCTCCTACCTCTAAACATCAGCAATTGAAAAATGTAGAATTTTTTAATGAAACAA